AGAAATCTGTTTGCATCTGTTTTATGGATTCCATTTGTTTCCTATGTTGGGATTCCATCATGTTCCTCAGCTCCTCTGTAGATTTATTAATCATGTCTTCCAGTATAAGCACAATCTCTGCTGTTCTTGGAGAAATTATTTCTGATTCCTTTTTTTCCAGATCCTCTTTTGTTGCCAGTTCAGGGAGTCCAGGTGGTTGATTATCAGAGTGTTTCATATCGTTTCCCTTTGGGGTTGCTGTAGGTGATCTGGAAGTGTGGTTTTGAGGCTTGTTTACATTTCTTCTTATTTCAAAGGGGGTTCGAGGGTGCTGCTGGCTCCCACATCGCTCACTTCCTCTGTGCTGGGAGCAGTGGTACATTCACCCAGAAGCCTCCTCCTCTGTCCTGGGAGCGGTGGCATGTTGACCCAGAATCCTCCTCCTCTGTCACAAGTTATATTTTTTGAATTGGAAGTCAAAACTGTCTTATCTGAGTTTTTAAAAAAGATTTTATTGTCACTATATAATTGTTTTAAATGAAAAATAAATATAGTGAAAAAATACTGACTGAATATATAATTATTGAATTTGGCTGATGGGCTTATTATAAATCCTTTCCATTTTTGCTTGACATTTTCCATTCTAATACATAAGGAGAGACATGTAACACATTCTCTGTCATTAATAATGATACATATTCTTTAAACTTTTTATAAGTGATGTTTAATCCAAAGATTTAAATGCATCTGGGTAGGTTAATTGGTGACTAGATCATTTACTCATTCACTTTAATTTTTTTATTCATTCACATTTTATAGATTATTTCCGTTTGAAAAGATTTTTTTGAGTAGCCAGTATTCATTCACTCCTTCAATAAAAGTTTTTTTTAAACACTATTTTAGATGGTGGAAATATAGAAGTGAGTCTAGTAGAAGAAATTTCTGGAATGTGCATTTTAGTAGGAAGGAGACAGAATAAGTAAATAACATGTTGATGATGAGGACTATGAAGGTAAATATAATTGGATAAATGGCAATAAAGGTGTGAAGTGACAGTGCTTTTTTATATAGGGTCATCAGGGAAAGTCTGTCTGGTGGGGATCTGGAGGATGCCAGAGTGTGGAGCAGAGTAGGCATCTGTAGGGGCTGGCAGAAGAGCTAATGGGTGGGCATGGACCACTCTTCATTCGTTCACTCTTTGATTGATAAATGGGATTTGGAGACAGATTCAGGTAGCTCTCAATGCAGCCTTATTACTTACTTGTACCAAGACTGAAGAGAGCCAGAGAAAAGATTTTTTGTGTTTTTTTGATTGTTGCCTCTGTCCCCTCACCCTCTCATTTAAAAAAGAAAGAGAAAAAGAAATCTCACACCTTTGAAAAGCATTGTTAGGAGATATAATTGTTTTATTCTTGTCCAAATTTTGTCATTTATATTTTCTTTGCATGCTTGAGAAAATATGTAAGTAGAATCTGGGGAGCCAGGTCTTTCCTCACTTTGTATGTTGTCATGTACAGATGTAGAGCAGCAAATGCCGCCTGGTCCCAGGGAGGTAAATAACAGAGTGAATCATGCTGAGCCAGAGGGGTAAAGAGTGTTGGAGACTGCAGCAAATTGGAGAATTAATGTCCTGTGTAAGAGGAGATATGTTTTCAACTCAGATTGTTGCGTGTAAGAATGTGGCCCTATCTTTGAATTTATTTTCTGATTTTTTTCAACAAAAGCCCTGAATTTGCATTTTATGTGCTACCTCTTGATTTTTAATTGTTGGCAGCCAAACAAAATCACTTCAAAACATTCTGCAGGTCAAACAAAACATTCATGTAGGTGGGATCTGGCCAGCAAGTTGAGTTGACTTTCTGGGGATAGAACACAGTAATTCATTCTTACTGTCCCCTTCAGGAGATCATACAGATCTGACAGGAACAAAATGCCACAAGATTTCTGGAAACAAATGGCTTTGACACGTTATTGCATAATGGTGGTGGTGCACCTGTGTGGTGCTGACTATGTCTGTTCTTGTTTTAGGGTATGGCCACACAGGTCCCATGTCGCAGCGAGCTGGTTATGATGCTGTTGCCTCTGCTATTTCTGGCATGATGCACATCACAGGGCCTGAGGTAGGTATCCTTCAAGGAATAATCATAATATTTCTCCTTATATGTTCCAGGAAAAAATTTCTCTTTACTCACTCATAGGATTAAACTTGAATTAATTAATTTTTTTTTTTTTTGGTACCGAGGATGGAACTTAGGACCTTGTCCTTTGAGGCAGGCGGTGGAACCACTGAGCTAACTGCCAGGCCCCAACTTGAATTAATTTTAGAAGGAAACCAGGGAAAGTGAATCTTTCACCTGGACACGACTCTTCCTCTTGAATTAAGGCATTCATTGGCCCATTGAATAGTGATTGCACATGTTCCTTACTATGTTCTTGGAACTGAGGAAGGCACTGGGATTAAGCAGGCAGTAGGAGAGGTGCACTCTTTTCTTCCTAAAGGTGTCAAACGAAAAGCAATTAACAAAATATTCATTGCATACAAATACTAGAAGCTGCTCTAAATAAGACTACAGGTTATTATTAACCATGTAATATTGTGCCTAACACCATTATTATATTTCTTAGAGCTGCACAAAACTTGGTTTGACAGCAAAAGCAGATGAAAAAGAATCAGGCTATGCTGGGATTCTCCTTAGGAAAGTTGTTTACGCTCATTTTATCAGCATATATTATAATTACCTAGGCCTATAGGCAGTGGTTGCTCAGGAGGGATCACCTGTGAAGTCCTGACTGATACTATTAGCTAGCCAATATGCACACATGATTGCCACTTATATCTTGTGGCATATGCACTTTTATCCACCTGCACCACTGTGCATCTGTGCTGCTAGCATAACTCCATGCTGTCAGATGACTGATTGGAACCCAGGCTTTTCTCTTGGTGGGAGGCTTCACCACATCATTGTAAACAATAGAGCCTGGCCTTGTCAGGATGTCGGTTAGGGAAGGCTTCTCTGAGCACCAGGTATTTCAGATGGGACAGAAAGGGCAATATCGTGCATGATATCTACATGGTGAAGAGTCTGGTAGGCTGAGCAGTCAGAACAATTCCAGTAGATTATTGTGAATTAGCAGGGTCAGAATGAGTTTGAAAACAGAGAGAGTAGTGGCTGAATTTATTGTTTGTAGATTTACTATAGTAATAGTTTGATGAGAAGATACATTATTATATGTAAATTTTTCCTAGTGATGACATCATATATTTCTGCCTAGGAATTGAATGATGTTTCAAAGATATAAGTATAGGTGAGTACTATGAATAAAAGTTCATGTTTTCCCTATAATGGAATATTAATGCCATTTTTATCCATTGAGGGGCCATACATAAATGTATGATATGAGATGAGATTTATGAAAGTACTCTTTATGATGAGATTTAAGGTAAACTAGGTATAGCTGACCTTCGCTCAACCTATGTTATGGTGTTAAGATTCATACTTCCTATGGACATAAAATCTGATTTTGCGTACCTAGACCTTGATAGGTCTTTTACTTATGTTATTATCTCTTTTGATCCTTACACTGCTCCTGTCAGGTGGGTATTAACAAATTCTAACTGAAGCTTAGAATGCCCAGGAATGCAAGTCCTAAAGCCAGACTCTGAACCCAGTTCTATTTAACTCCTGGAGCCGACACTCTTTCCACTTTCTGATGCTTGCAGAATGAATCTTCATGTTTATTGTATTTGCATCTTACTTATCCATGCTGCTTGATATATGATACACTATAGTGAATAGACCACTTGGTATAGTGACAGAGCACTGCACTAAGTCTGTGTCCCTGGTTCTAATTTGTGCCAGTCTAATTATTACTGATTTGCTCAAATGGGCCTCAGTAGAATATGTGCCTCATAACAAGGACCATGGTGTTTGCTTTGGCTATCCTGGTTTATCTATATACATAGAACAGAGCTCCAGGAAACACTAAGTAAATGAATGTTGAGTGAATAAATAAGTATGTGGACTGTGCTGTGTGATCTTGTACATATCATATAGTTTCCAGTGTTTCAGTGAACAGCATCTGAAAGTGAAGCTCATATATCTCCTTACAAGACACAGTAAAGAGCAAATAACGTATCTTTGATAAAAAGGTTGAAATTGTGTATTATATCAGGTAGTACATATAAGAATCATTAGTTTCTTAGTATTGGTGCAGATTCCTGAGCTCCACTCTCAGAGACAATGATTTGTAAGTGGAGCCCACAAATATGCATGTTTAGCAATGGGCCCAAGTGCTTCTGATACAGGTGATTTATGGACCACATTTGAAAAACAGTTATATCATTGTTATTAAGAATTTTTTGTCAATCAGTATAGAGATTTCTCAAAAAAATAAAAGTTGGGTCAGGGATTTAGCTCAGTGGTATCGTGCTTGGCTTGTAAGCTCAAGGTCCTGAGTTTGACCCCTGGTACAAGAAAAAAAAAACGAGAAAAAAAAAGTTGAAATTCTATTTGATCCAGCTATATGTCTCCTGGGTATATTCCTGAAAGTGTAACAACATCATATTATAGTGATATATACAAACCCATGTTTATAGCAGCACAGTCCACAATAACTTACCCCTGGAAACAACCTAGATGGGATTCTTTGAGCCATAAAAAGAATGAATTTGAATCAGTTGCAGGAAAATGAATGGATCTTGAGACCATCATATTGAGTGAAATAAATCAGTCACAGAAAATTAAATATGGCACAGTTTTTCTTATATAAGAAACCCAACGAATTAAAAAATAAAATAAAGGCATAATTTTTGGATTAGGGGGAGGGAATCAGTGGGAGTGGGAAGAGGGAGAGTGTGGGAGTCAAAGAGAATCTAAAATGCTTAAGATATGATATAAATACATAAGTATATGAATATCAACAAATCAATCTATATATAAACACACGTATTCCCTCAAATGAATGTAAATTTTTTAAAAAATTTTATTTTATTGGTACAATTTAGGTATACAATATAATGACATTCATCACTGGACATTTGCACCTTTACATAATCTCTCTTGGTTCTTAT